ACTCCTGGACAGGTCACTTCTGCTTATTATGAAAACGTACTTTATTTCCAAGAGCTAGTCAAACGTTTTTCAGGATACGAAAGCGATATCCTATGTCTGAAAACGTAATTTTCAAGGCAAAGAAAGAGTCCGCTTGCTGCTGCGTGTTGTAGCTAGTTCATTCGCACTGAATCTCCGCGCAACCTTCTCTGCACCCCTTTCCTGCTCCTCTCCCCGCTGCCCGATCCGCTCTTTCCCCTGCTCCTCACTTCTCCGGGCACGGAATCTCCATGCACCGCTCCCCTCTCCCCTCTCCTCTCCCTGCTCCCTGCTCCGCTCTTCTTCCTGCTCCTCACTTCTCGTCCGCACACGAAATGTCTGCGCACCCCCTCCCCCCGCTCCTCACTTCTCCGTCTTGCCTAACCAACACTGTAGTTAGTTGTTTACAAGTCATGTGCAGCGCACCGGCTGTAAACAAACCTGTTTCTGGCGTAAGGAGGAGGCGGAAGGAGGCGTTTCTACGTAGGGAGCTGTAGGGGAGGGGGGGTGGTTTCACGCATGCGCAACATTTGAAAAAGGACAAACAGTCGCTGGATTTCTCGTTCCTTGGAAAATCCTCTATACAACCTTTAAGACTTATTTTTATTGGTTGGCCTTCCTTTAGCTGGTTTTAGCTTGATTTTATTCCTTTTTTATTATTATTATTTTTTATTCTATTTCTTTTTATTTATTTATTATAATTTATTGGATTTATTGGATTGGATTTATGCTTTTTGAATTGTTCTTTGCTGCTTGTACAACACTTTGTAAACAGTGTTTTTAAAAGTGTTTCATAAATAAAGATCTGTTGTTATTATTATTACTATTGTTAATAACATTTCAAAGACAATAAGCATGTGGTGGGCTGTCTACAAGAGAAGTGACAAAGTCATTTTTGAAAACAGACAAACTGTATCTTACAATTAATAGGAATGCTCCTTTTCACATTTGAGAAAACGGTGTCTGCACATTCTAATTTTGAAAACAACCAACATGGGCTTTTAGATTTGGCATTTTAACAAAGACATCATTCATAGTGAACAAACTGCCCATTAAGAATGACTCATGCTCAACAAATGAATTAATATCATGACTATAACTCCCAACCCCCTGACCTGTCATTCTGCTCCAAAGCAAGTCCCTAGATTGTACATTTTGGCAATGATTCTGATTCCAGCTGATGAAGTAGTTACTAAGCCTGAATCATTGTTCAGTTTCATTTGTTTTTATTCATGTGTAAACGTAAATGTGATATAGATATGTTATTCAAACAACATACATGTACACACACTTTTCCATTTTTACGCAGATAAAACATAACTTATGAAGGCAACTAACAAAAACAAATCACTCAAGAAATACGAGTAGAGTCATACAATATAATAATAATAATAGAAGGATAATAAATATACTACTACTATTAATAATAACAAAAAATCTATTAAAATAATAATCAAATTAAAATAATAGTAATAATGATAAAATAATTGAAAAAATCTAATTAAAAAATTAATAATAATCAAATAAAATAATAGTAATAATAAGAAAAAAATAATAAAAACATAAAATAATAAAAATAAAATGAAATTATAATCAAATAAAAATAATAGTAATAATAATAAAAATAATTTTAAAATGAAATAAAATAAAATAATAAAAAATAAAATAATAATAAGATAGAAATAATTGTATTAATAAAAATAAATAAAATAAAATAATACAAAATAAAATTAAAAAATAATATAAAAAATAAAAAATAATAATAATAAAAGTCCAAAAATTGTTGCCAGTTTCTAAAAAAAATGTTTATGTTCCCTTTCTTGGAGTATCTAATCTTCTACTTTCAAAAAGGACTTAACTTCATTCATCCATTGAGCGCTTGATGGGGCATTTGTTGATTTTCAGTGTAAGAGGAGATGGAATCTTGCAACAAAAGTAGTAAACTCCAAAACGTGCAGCCTGAATCATTCTTAATAACCCGGTATGAATTCAGTCTTTGTTCATGCTTTATTAAGACTAATTAAGGTGTCATTGTTATTATGTGTTACTAAAAACATGTGTCTACGTCTAAATGTAAAAAATCTGTTTTCCGGCACCCTTGAAAGTGCCTTCTTCACACAGACACAGCCTCACAGCTCCTCGTCTCTGCTCCAGTCTGCTTGTTTGACAGGCGTGTCTCGGGGCACTCCCCAAAGCGCCTGTGATGGTTCGGCATTGTTTCCAGATGTTAGCCTGCTCCCGACCAGCGCATATCCGTGTTAACATGAACAATGGACACTCGGCGGAGACTCGGAGGAGCTGCAAATCAATAACACGACAAGGAGAGGGTCCCGAGTGCGGACACGCCGAGGGTCACCAGTGTCGTGTGTGCACAGGCTGGACTGCATCTGTGTGAGGGTTCGATTACTCAACGTGCACCATTACTCATCTGTCCAGGGACACGAGAGAGGGAGGGAAGGAGGGAGAGAGAGAGAGAGAGAGAGAGAGGTGCCATGTGCTAAGAGGAGAGAGGGAGGGAGCAGGAGAGAAAGGGGGTAGGGAGAGAGTGATGCCATGTGCTGGGAGGAGAGCGGGATGGAGGGAGATGGAGAGAGAGGGGACAGAGAGGAAAGAGAGAAGGAGGGGGATGGAGTGAAGGCTAGAGAGAGAAGAGGGAGGGAGGGCTGGAGAGGGAAAGGGAGGGAGAGAGAGGAGAGGGAGGGAGAGAGATGGTGAGAGAGTCAGAGGACAGAAAGAGAAGGAAGGAGGGAGGGGAGGAGAGAGAAGAGAGAGCAGTAATTGGCAGGGGAGGGAAGAGAGAGATGGAGGGTGGGAGGTGGCGGAGAGAGAGGAAAGAAAGAAGGAGGGAGATGGAGGTAGGGCTGGAGAGAGAAAGGGAGGAGAGGAGGGAGAGAGGAAGAGAGGGAGGGAGAGCAAGAGGTATGGTAAGAGAGGGAGAGGACAGGAAGACAAGGAGGCAGAGGGAGGGAGGGAGGAAGGGAGGGAGAGAGAGGAGAGGGTGATAACAGGCAGGAGGGGGAAGAGAGAGAGCGAGGGTGGGAGGTGGCGGAGAGCGCAGGAGGGAGGGATGCAGAGAGAGAGGAAAGAGTGACGGTGAAAGATGGAGAGAGAGAGAACGAGAGGGAGGGATGGAGAGTGAAAGGGAGGGAGAGAAAGGAGAGTAAGATCGAGGGAGAGAGATGGACAGAGAAAGGGGAGAGAGTTTAGAGGGGAGGAGGGAGAAAAGAAGAGGAGAGGGTGACAGGGAGGGAGAGAGGGGGAAGGAGAGCACAGGAGGGCGGGATGGAGAGAGAAAGGGAGGGGGAGAGAGGCAAGGAGGGAGAGAGGGAGAAAGGAGAGCAAAAGGGATGGAGAGGAATGAAGAGAGAGGGAAAGAGACAGAGAGGAGAGAGAGAGAGGGAGGAAGGAAGGAGGAGATGAGGGAATGGAACTGAGAGAGAGGAAGAGACAAGGAGGGAGGGAGAGAGAGAGGGAGATGGAGAGAGAAAGGGAGAGAGAGTTGAGAGAGAGGAAGGAGGAGGCGAGCGAATGAAATTGAGAGAGAGGAAGAGACAGAGGGAGGGGGAGAGGGGGAGATAGAAGACAGAGAGACGAGTGAATGAAAACAGGCGAGGGGCGTTTCCTGTTTACTGGGCGGACAAGAGGAAAACAGAGCTGTCAGAAAGTATTATTGTTTAGAGAAAAGAGCTCAGTTCAAAACATAGTACAAATATACAACTACAGGTTTAGATTTTAGCTGCAGAATGTACAGAAAAATTCAACTTTTTGTGCAATTGTGCAAATCTGCATCAAAGTAAACTGTGAATTCTCTTAGGAATTCAAGTTTTGTAGGATTAGAAGTTGTTTCTGCACATCGATATAAATATAGGCCTGTAGAATAAAAAATATATTCTAGTAATTCTCTCAGCAATCAACAAAATATCTGACTTTTAAGTAATGAAACAGACATGCGTTTCAAATTTTATACGTTATTTTCTGATCTGGATTATAATGTTGTTTCCTCATCACAAACATATATGTTGTGTTTTGTTTCATTCAAGCCACCTTGTGATGTCATGTGGTGATACAAGAAGTGCTCCACTGTGTTTTTAAACTCCAGTCACCTTCACTAGAATCATTTGGATAACTTCTGCCTTGAAATTGTACATTTTTACTGAATAAAAGATAAAAAATATCAGTTGAAACTTGAAAACTACCACTTTTTGACATCACAAGGTGGAACACAGCATTTTGAGCTTTGGTGATATAGACAGAGTAATTATAGCCAGGCTGGCGCCACCTAGTCCCTAAGTACAATTTCGGTCTCTCCAGGAATTGGAATACACTAGACGGTTCGCAAAAACCCCGGAAGTGCAAGTTTGTCCACCAGCCAATCAGCGAAGAGCCGTACATTCTGTGTTGGCAAAAATTCCCGAGATCAAGGATTTAAAGCCGGAACAAAGAGAATGTTTGGTGAATTTTATCAAGGGGAAAGACGTTATTGCACTTCTTCCTACGGGATTTGAGAAAGGCTTAATATACCAGTGCATTACATACGTCACCACCAAATATCAGTGATTGGTTAAAAAAAAAAAAAAGAATCCTAATGCTGCGAGGTCAGACGGTTTCTACAAAGTGAAACCGGGTGATAAATCAGGCTAGAGTAATTATGCAGGATTACTCAAACGTGTATGAAAGAAACAAAACCCAACTCCATGTGTGTTTTTAATGAAGTAACAACAAGCTCACAAGAGTGATGTTTGCATAATATAGGACCTTTAACAGAAAATTATATTAATTTTTAAGCATAATTTGCAACCAACCGTGTCATAGTAGTACAACAAACCAGGAGGAAGCATGAGAGGGAAACAGCTCCAGGCGTAGTTTGAGTTGAAGAGGAGGGGTGTGTCCTGACCCGAGGAGAGAAAGAGAAAGAGAGGGAGAAAGAAAGAGAGAGAGAGAGAGTGTGTATATAGGACCCCACAAAACAAGGCTCACTTCTGTCCCGCTCTCCGCACAGGAAACTACCGCTAGCTCAAGCCTCTCTCTACCTTTCTCCATTCACAGAAAAGAAAAACTACTACAACCATGAGGAGAATCAGTGGGCTTTCTACGTCTTCCCTCCTGGTGCTGGTTTGTGCGTTACTACTTACAAGTGAGTGTCTGACTTTTACATTTACTGCATGTTTCTGAGCCCACTTCAAATGAACATGTGGGCAAGGCTTTGTTTTGTTTGAAAACGAGTGCGCGCAGATGAGAGAAGCATGGTTGGCACAGGAGAGGCTTGTAGTAGTAGTAGTAATACTAGTAGTTGTAGTAGGGATAGAATGAAGTAATAGTGTTATTTAGAGTATAGCAGACTAGCAGGAGTAGTAAAAGTTGCAGTAATGAAAGTAGAATTATTATTTGAAGTATTATTAATTGTGGTAGTAGTAATAGTAGTAGTAGCAGTAGAAGTAGTAGTAGTAGTAGATGTAGTAGCAGTAGAAGTAGTAGAAGTTGTATAATTATTAATTGCAGTAGTCAAAAAGGATGTTATGAGTGGTAGCAGTATGGGATAGTAGTAGTAGGAGTAGTAGTAGTAGTAGTAGAAGAAGAAGTAGGAGTAGTACAATAAAGTAATAGTAGTAGTGGTAGTAGTAGTAGTAGTAATAGAATAAAACAGGAGTGTTCTTAAGACTAGCAGTAATATAAGTTGCAGCCATAAAAGTTGAATTATTAATTATAGTACTAGTAGTAATAGTTGTAGTAGTAGTAGTAGAAGTAGTAGTAGTTCTAGTAGTAGTAGAATAAAGTAGTATAATTATAAATTGCAGTGGTCAAAAAGGAGTGGAGTTATGGGTGGTAGCAGTATGGGATAGTAGTAGTTAAATAAGTATAATTATAGTACTAGTAGTAATAGTAGTAGTAGTAGTAGTAGTAGTAGAATAAAGCAGCAGTGTTCTTAAAATAAGTTGCAACAATAAAAGTAGAATTATTCATTATAATAGTAGTAGTAAGTAGTAGTAGTAGTAGTAGTAGTAGTAGTAGTAGTAAAGTAGTAGTGTTATTAAGAGTAGCAGACGAGTAGTAGCATAAGTTGCAGTAATAAAAGTAGAATTATTATTGTAGTACTAGTAGACAAAAGCAGTCAAGGGATGTTGCAGTGGTAACAGTATGGATTAGTTCTAGATGATAGTAGTAGTAGTAGTAGTAGTAGTAGTAGTAGTAGTAGTAGTAGTAGTAGTAGTAGTTACCGTTGCTGGGTCATTTGCGTTAGGGCATCTGGGCGTGACTTGCATGTTTTGAATTTGAACAGAAATGAAGTTGTGTTGAGTTGATTTAGTGGGTTAAAACTGAAGTTTAGGTCAAATGAAAGAAACGTGTTTAAATGAAAGAAGCGTGCTTGTGAACAAAGTGACCGCATGGTGAGAGGTGGGGCGTGTACTCCCAAGTGTGGAGTATGTAGTACTGAATGCACTGTTTACTGTTGCTATAGTAGAAGTAAAAGTATTTACCAGATACGTGGTGAGTTAGTATTTTTTTAAGTTTTTAAGCTGTATTGCAGTGCAGAATATATCACTACCAGGACCACATAGTTACAGTTATTGCTGTTGTTAGTACTGCGACAAATCCTGCTACTATTTCAGCTGAAATATTGGTCCTAATATAGCAACTCATTCTAATACTACGTTCTACTGCAGTTTCTTCTAATAGTACTGCAGATGCAAGTAGTAGTTGTGCCACACCCACTGCTGCTTATAACAAACCCCTACTATTACCTACCTCCCAGATCAAAATAAATTATTATTCATGCTGCTACTACTACTACTATTAATAATAATAATACTTCTACTGCTACTACTTACTACTACTGTTCATGCTGCTACTACCATTGTTGGTACTTTTATTACTTCTGCCACACCCGTTTCAACTCATGACCAATGATGCTGATACTACCATCATCATTTTGATTCTGCTTGGTTCTACTACTACTACTACTACTACTACTACTACTACTACTACTACTACTACTACTACTACTATTACTACTAAGTAATAAGTACTATAGTAAATATCTCTATGCAATACACATATAGGGAAAAATAATGCTGTCTCCATCCCAATTGGCTTTGTTTACTACCATTACTTCAACTGTGATTTCTACTAGTACTTATCTTACTAGTTAGTACTGCTACTACTACCACAGCTACTATTGCCAGTACACATTTGTCGATTAATGTACTTTCTTATAACTACACCATACTTTATACTCTTTATACTTCATACTACACCATAGATTTCAAGTCAACATCTATTGTACCTTTTACCTTTAGTTTTGGAGAGATTGGAAATTCCAGCGCTGAAATCATCCAAATGATTCTAGTGAAGTTGTATGGAGTTTTAAAACACAGTGGAGCCATTCCTGTATTGCCACATGACATCATAAGGTGAAATAGAGTGTATTCAGTTTGAGAGTGTTAAACGTGTGAAAGAAACAAAACAAAACAAAACTCCAGGTATGTTTGTGATGAGGAAACAACATAAGATCAGACTATAGTGTAATATGTGCCCCTTAAAGTTATATTATGAAATGTTTTATACTTTTAACATATCTTTTTGCATAACTCAAAACTCCAAAACAAAAGTGCACCCTAGTAAACCCTGAGATTGCGTGATGGGAGTAGCTGGCGGGACAGTCCTCCCTGGATCTCTCAGAGGCCTCTTGCTAATTGCAGGGTGATGTAGCCTTGGATGGAGCTCCTGTATGGCCCTCTGCAGCCCACAGCTCACACAGACCATGCCCAGAGACACAGGCACAACGCAAGCACCTTGGGAATATTTAAAGACATGTTCCAGAGTTTTTAAAGGGGAAAAAGGAGATGGTGGAACATGCTGGTAGCTTGGACAGTTAAGAGCATACCATCTCCACCAGCAGCAGCAGCGGCAACAGCAGTTTAACACATGGAGATTCAATTTACAGGCCAATCTAATTATTAAGGATACTCCCCACATCGGTACCACACACACACACACACACACACACACACACACAGGATTTCAAATAGTGCATTGGCTTAAAGGGCCAGTGTCTATGTTGTATTGTAATGCATGAAATATGACTCTACTACCATTATTTCAGTTTAAATATGTTTCTATATTACTGTTACTTGTCCAGAAAAGTGCTATATAAAACTGACGGATTATTATTATTACTTAAAGGGGCAGTGTTTATTGTTTTGAGAGATTGTACGTTGTAATAGAAATAATTGTGGATATATTTTAAAGGGACAGATCGGAATTTTGGACATAGGGCCTCATTTACTAGTGAGCCAGAGTACTGTAGACGTTTGGAGACACTTTTTGAAATAATCCATCCAGTCCTTGTATTTGGAGGTTGCTGAGAATAATTTTAGAAGTAAAACCAACCTTGCATTTGATGGATTTATGTCTGAGCTGCAGCAAAGAGTTGTACTTCCTGATAGAAAGCTTGGCAGCAGCGGACTGATGTATAAGAAAATAGTCCCTCAACATGCGACGATTCATGCGATACAAGGTTAGTTTTACTTCTTAAATTATTCTATTGACACAGACATTTACATCGATAGTCTGGCGTAAAAATAGATTTGCCTCAGGTACACTGTGGAGTGGGTAAGACTGTTTTTAGTGGCACGCTAACTATGGCCATTGACTTGCACTAGCCTAGCACCAACAGCCTCTCCAAATACAAGGACTGGATGGATTATTTCAAAAAGTGTCTCCACACATCTGCAGTACTCTGGCTCACTAGGAAATGAGACCCTATGTCCAAAATTCTGATCTGTCCCTTTAAACATATTACTTTATCATGGATGCTGGCAGACTATAGTAAGGAGTTCTGCAATTTGCTGCTCAATTACTGATCGTATCTCAAAAGTAAACATTTATCTCAAGACTTTAATTTTATTATTAAGAATTTCACATCTTCATCAATGGCATTTGCTAATAAGGTCTTTTCCTATTGGCTGTAGAGAAAGTAAAAGTGGCAGTGCTAAGCAAAACAACAATATGGGCTCAGATTGTTGTTTAGTGTTTTTTTTTTTATTTGATTTATTCAGTGTCATGCCAAGCCCACATGAGCTTACAAGACACATCACAGATCACAGACACATTACACATCAACCACACAGTGTCTTCTTAAGAAGGTCCCAGACTTTCAGCACGAACTGAGCCATCTTGAAAACATTACATTAAAACAAATATGCCGGTCTCTCCTCATCAGACACGGCAAACAGACAATTAGACATATTATACAATGTCTGTTCAGTGGCTTTTTTTGTGTGTGTACCAAAGCAAGAAAGAAATGATCTGAGGAAGACTTTTTGCCAAAACTTGATCTAAAAATCTGAGTGTACTACTACTACTACTACTATTACTACTACTAGTACTACTACTACTACTACTACTACTACTACTACGATTCTGTGTCTTTTGTCATTAAAAGGATACTTTGGAATTTTGGACATAGGACCTCATTTCCTAGTGAGCCAGAGTGTTGGAGACATGTAGAGACACTTTTTTAAATATTCCATCCAGTCCTTGTATTTGCAGAGGTCGCTGGTGCTAGGCTAGTGCATGTCAATGGCCATAGTTAGCCTGCCACTAAAAACAATCTTACCCACTCCACAAAACACCCGAAGTAAATCTATTATTACGCCAGACTGTCGATGTGAATGTCTGTGTTGATAGAACAATTTTAGCAGTAAAGCAGTCTTGCATTTGAAGGATTTATGTCTGAGCAGCAGCAGCGAGTTGTACTTCCTGATATAAAGCTTGGCAGCGGCAGAATGATATATGAGAAAATAGTCCCTCAACATGCGACAATTCATGCAATACAAGGTTAGTTTTATTTCAGACATTATTCTATCAACACAGATATTTACATCGATAGTCTGGTGTAATAATACTTTTAAACATGCAGTCATCATGTGCTTGTTGCGTATCAGTCTGTTTAAACCAGTTCTTACTAATATTGGAGTCTTTTGTCTGCTGCCCTGACCTCCCTGACCCCCCTGACCTCCAGCTCCTCACCACATCCAAAAGTCTTCCTCACAGAGACGTGTTACATAGAGGACACTTGTGATTGACTAATGTGGGTTTGACTGGAACTGTAAAATGTGAAAATATTCCATTGGC